GCGACTCGTGTTTTTCCCCCACTTACCGTCAACAATGCAATCAAGCTATGCAGCTGCGTTGTCTCTGGAAAAGTTGAAAAGCTGTAAAAATTTCTGACTTTGGTCAAAAACACTGCATTGCTTCCCCGCAAAGCACATTAACATACACTAGTGGTGAATGCGTTTTAACAAGGAAATGCGGTTCTTTTCCTACCGACTAGAATCGTTTGACCGTGCTGCGTATAATATTTCACTTTTTCGATGTTTCGTCGCAACCTAACTGCCACAATATTTAAGAAATTAACATTTTCTTTAGAAAATTGGTTCCAAAAAATGAATAGTGTAGTACAGTGACCAACCATTACTTTTTAGAGTGTAATCGTAGATGGTCTAGCGTACTGTCTAGGATATTTGGCGTGGAACGACCCTCATCTCCTCCAAAACCCGAACACTAAACCCGAAAAAACGTTAGAAATGCCCAAGTTCATTCAGGGATTTATGAAACACGAATTAAAAAGAGCAAAACCAACCCTGGACTACGCTTTTCTTCTGGGGGAAATTACATGTATTGGTAAAGGCACTTAATTTTTGTGATAAAGTCAATTTACACCACTTGCAAAAAAACCCAAAACAAAACTTACAAAGAATAAAATACCCGAAAGTATTTGCCTTTTCATAGTCAAATCTGGCTGTGAAGAACGCAAAATAAATGCAAGCGGAGTTGGAATGCTGCGCATTAGTAGACAATTCTGTGAATTTACGCAAATGTATACTGATGGAGAGGTGACCAGAAACTTTATTAAAGCGTTCATGTGCACGTATTTGAGATTTCTGCCGCACAAGCCGATTTCCTGCTACGGGCAGAGCAAAATAGCCGGTCGTGAGAACGATAACCAACAAGCTCTCGTAGGACGTGCCAAGCAAGATTTAAACGTAAAAGTGTTCTGCATTTACCGCATAACAGAACGATGTCCTCCACGCGTACCGCGCGTACCGGCCGACAGAGAAAGAGCAACGTCGGAGTGATCGGGACAAGGGAAGCGGAGACGGCGACGGGTGGGAGAGGTCACGAGCCGTCAACTCAGCGCGACCGGTTATACATGCTCTTTCTGAGCGCGGCGAGTTCGGTGAACCTACCCCCTGTCTCCGGGTCCACGGGACTCGCCGCGACGACTCTCCGCCCCGACGCGCGCACTTATACATGGGGAGGGCGAGTCCAGAAAACCTGTTTATTTCGCCTCAACGCGCCCTCGTCGGGTCAATGTAAACGGGCCTAATGTAGAAGTGGGATGAACGCGCCGGCTCCCGCGTGGCGCATGTGTTTTCTGAACGCCGCTACAGCTGGTGTGCATGCAGGCCCATTATTGTACTCCAGCTGCAGCAAACTGGATTAACGCTACTTAAAGACCTTTTCACAGAAGACTCCATGGGCACTGCATACTCCCCTTAATATACGTGAACCCCCAAGAATGCTCTGCCGAGACATTTGCGAAAGTGACTCTTAAAAAGGGAAAAGAAGAGAAAAGTGAGCCCTGTTATTGTCTGCTTCAGTGAGCGACACCGCCACAGTAGCTCACGAGGGATGGGGGTGAGGAGGGATAAAAAGGATAGGAGTAAAGATGTAGGAAAGCCGAAGAAGGAGAAGAGAGGAAGAGACGTGAGGTGGTGAGCCAGAGCGAGCGACGACAGAAATGAGGGGATAGAAGAGATAGGAAAGATGGGAGCACGGTCACTGGAGTCCGAGGACGGGGCGCACCTGCGAGAGCTCCTTTCGGCGTCCGTGGATGGCGTAGAGCAAGTCCAGTAAGTCAGAGCTGCACTGTCGTCGGAGGTGGAAGGTCGTCGGCGGCAGGAGGTGACGTAGGGCGAGCCCAGTCGGCCAGAGCCACGCTGACGCCGGAGGTCGCAAGCGCGCGGAGCGCGCGAGCGCACGACCGGTCGGCCCGAAATCCAGCAAGACATTTGCACTCCCGTGGTACAGTCCAGAAAGGAGGTGTTGCTCCGTTCCTGTGAAAAAGTCACCTTTTCACAGACGGCTCCCTGGGCGCCTGCATAATTCTCTCTGGGCTGCGCTAATTAAATAGCCGTGACCCCCCAAAAATGCACTTTGTAGGCTGTGACATCAGCCTCTATACCCCTGCGCGCAGCCCAGCTTGGCGGCGTTTTTTTTCTCCTGTGAAAGTTGACCGCTGGTGCCGCATTTTGTGCCGGCTGTATCCTCGCTTTGTAGGGAGGCGCATGTACCTTCTGTGTACAGAAGAGGTAGAATTCCTTGCGTGTGGTTAAGGTTGTTCGAAGTTGCTCGGATATGCCAGTCTTTCAGTAGATGTCATCTTCGATGATTCGTTTCGGTGGCGAGGACTACGGTTTGAGAAAAGTTTGCCCTGCAGCCTGCGTCCTCGGAATGCGCCGCTGAGTTTTTTTCCGCTTACGGGTTTCGTTCCCTGGCAAATTTGCGCACGTCGTGTTGGTGTTGCCGTTGCTGTCGAACTGTTTACCTTCACAGAAGTAGACGCGCTTTTCGTAGGAACCCAAAGCCGACACGTGTGGACCGCACAGATGGATAACTGCTCCAGCGGCAATGCACTAGGAAAGCATCTGGAATCAATAAAGGAGCTGCTACGGTGTGAAAGACGAAAAAAAAAAAAGAGTAGAAGGACCACGAGGGTGAAGTGCAAAGCTGTACAAATAGGGCAGGTGCGCGTGCGGGGGAGGGAGCGCTGAGGTGTTCTGGTAAAAGGGTAGGTTTGAAGAAAGGAAGAAGAGGGAAGCAATGCCAGGAAAGTTGCAGTGTAACATTGGCAGCTGGTGGTCGCTGTGAAGGCGTGTAAATATTTTAGTATCACCCGAAAAGTTAAAGCATCAAAAAAATTTCGGGGGGGGGGGTCAGAACCCCCTCAACCCCCACCCCCCTAGTTACGGGCCTGATCAGAGTAAATTAGCTAAGAGAGTTCCAATTTCGCTGTTAGGCGGCGTTGAGGTAGGGTTTTCCAACAAAGGTTGCTTTCCATTATGATGAATTATCATCTGTGTATGTTAAGGAGCGCGCGTTTGTATACGTGTTCGTATGCGTATACACACACAAATGTTTAAATTCGAGGGGTGGAACGGTAGGATCGACGGAACTCCTCAACCCCTCCCCCACCGGGCCCCTGGCAACGCCAGCGTCCGAACGTGATGTGCTGTAGCTGCTTACCCACGTACATCGATCTCTTGCTTTGCTGGAGCGCCCTGTTCCGGGCATACTAATCACGGGGGTCGGGGCGTAGTCCGGAACTGCGAATTGGGGTCAGCGTGACCCAGAAACTGTGCACGGTTTACTTGAATGCGCGAATATAACCTCGCGTGCAAACCCGCCGCGGTGGTCCAGTGGTCATGGCGCTCCACTGCTAAACCGCAGGTCGCGGGATTGGATCCCGGCCGCACTTTCGATGGAGGCGAAAACGCTTGAGCCCCATGTGCTTATATATTTAGGTGCCCATTTACCAGTTGATAGGCTATGTGCACGATTGTGTACACCACTCGTTTTTTTTTGTCATTTGCATCATGTAGAGGCTAAAAGAAAGCGCAAGATATATCGTACTTTGAATGAACATCCTGCACAATAAATTTGTCTTCATCTAATTTCATTTTGCAGTTTACTGAATCATATGATCACTTTTCTGTAGACACTACCACGCTCGGCGAGATTTGTGACCTGCCGCTTCCTGCAAGCCATGTGAAAAAGGCAGAATTTTTCTTTGCCCGAGATTGACGTAATCAAAAATGATTTGACACTTTATTCCTAGCTTAAGATTTACCTCTGTTCATGTCAAAAGTAAGCGTCAATGACTTCAGTGTAAAGAGATACTTAATTACAACTTCATTTGAACGACTGACTATAACACACCAAAATTCAACAATTACCTCATTATTCTTGTTGATATAGAATTTCGTTTGCCTTGAAGTAACGTTGTCGTGATTTGGCACATTTACAGGCAGTTCTTCATTGGTGGCGTCTGAAAGGGTTAGAGAACTTACAGTGGTCGAAACTTGCGAGGTCCTCCGCTACGTTGTCTCTCACAATCATGTTGCCACACCCACTCCTTTCTATATTCTAACATTACCGCCCCATTACAATGTATCTGCTGCCTTGCGAAAAGCGCCCCCATGCGAATGGAAATTATATGGATAATCTTAGAACCTTCCGATCAGATTACGCACTCAACGGGAACGTCAGAGCATAGTTCTGGAACTTGCCCTAACGCGGTGGCCTTTAGTGGCTAAGGTACTCGGCTGCTGACCCGCAGGTCGCGGGATCGAATCTCGGCTGCGGTGGCTGCATTTCCGATAGAGGCGGACATTCTGTTGGCCTGTGTGCTCAGATTTGGGTGCACGTTAAAGAACCCCAGGTGGTCGAAATTTCCGGAGCCCTCCACTGCGGCGTCTCTGAATAATCGTATGGTGTTTTTTGGACGTTAAACCCCACATATCAATCAGTTCTGGAACTTACGCGGCCGCTTGCGATAACGCTGCATGGCTGCGATGATACGTAACGTGCCGCGTCTGACCACTTGTTTTTTTTTTTTATTATCGACGGCCGACGCTCTGTTCGTAGATATCATTGTACAGTGCGTATAGCTGTAATCTGACCTTCCGTTTCCCGGCCACAAGTTTGGCCAAATAAAGAGTTCCATCTTGGACGATCCGACTTCTGCCTTCGTCGACGTCATGACGACGTGTTATCGAAATTCCTGAACGTTAAACCCCAACAATTATTGGGGTTTAACATTTGTTTAGGTTTAACTGAATTTTCTCAACAATTATTGTGGGAAAATGCAGCCCTTCGCAGCCGAAATTTGATCCCGCGACTTGCGGGTCAGCAGCCGAGTACCTTAGCCTCTAGACCACCGCAGCGGGGCGCTTCCAATTATCCGATGCACTCGGTAAAGCTACAGTACTTTTACATAGTGGTCTTGAAACGCGGCTGTTGCGTGTGAAATGAAATTTTATTATTTTTCCTGGTCTCCTTTTTTTTTCAGGTTGGTACAGGGTTTTACAAGAATCATCGAAGCGTCATCTACCCCACGAAGTCACGAAGATTCATTCATACTTAGCGGTGTTCCCCAGACAGCCTCCTCTCCGGACAGGGTGTAGTACAAAACAGTATTAGCGGCCCAAGCACTCTTCGACGACGCTGTACGGAAGGCTGGGCTGCTAGAGTGGCTAAACGAAAGGGATGTGTGCAATACGACAAGCAATACGTGTATTACTGCTTTACGATGGGCCACCAGGGACGATGTACCGTGCTCAGAAATAATATGTCTGCTAAACCATACAGCCAATGTTATTTTGCGTAGACCAATGTGTACAAACCCTATACGTTGTTGCCTCTTTGTCAGAATTGTATGTCCTTCGGGCTCTGTAATAAACTTTCTGTTAAGTCTCTCTAGCAGTTCTTTGGGACTGCGTTGCAGTTCCATAACGTTGCTAAGTATAGTTTGCTTAAAAAGGGCAAAGTCATCAACATCATCATCATCAACACAATCCAGGAGGTATGTACATAGTACAAAACCCAAGTTAGGGGCAGAAAGTTTTCTGATAGGGATAGGGGAGGAATAGCAAATCGGCTCACAAGGTGTCTTTCACTTCCGGGTCATCCGAGACACATACACGCATGAAGGATCTTGAGAGTCTTCAGCGCTTGGGCGTCACGCAGCACTCGCTAAATTTCCACTTACCGTCAAGAGATTACCATCCTCGCAAGCAAAAGCGCTACATATCAGCTTACCGCCTTCGGTATTGCCAATACCCATGTTGCTGTTGCCATCGTCCATGCGCCACGTTTCAATCGCCAAGCAATGCCCAATATATGCATATGGTACGAGTAACGTATTCTCGCGTCATCACGCGCAAGTGACACTGTATATACTATTTGGACAAGGGCTTTTACTACAGTCATCGTCTCATGGACAGTTTCACCCAATGCGAAACGCACTCTGCTGCGGTGCGACTCGTCGTGCCTGCTAAAACCGTTGACTAAATATAGGCAAGAAGCTATCCGATATCTCATAATTTTGGCGAATAATGAACGGAACAAATATTGTAACGATGTTGAAGGACTCGGGGTGTAATAAAACGTATTTATTAAAAGGGCGAACCTGTGCCCACAACTCAAAGGGACTACGGTCGTAGCACGTTACAGCAGAACACCAAAGATGTCTCCTTCTTCTGCTCCTTCAGGAGGAGTCCCAAGCGCGTGGCGCACATCAGCCGGGACCAGCTGGGTTCTCGTGCTATTATCATCGTCTCTGCGCAACACTAGACGGCGCGCATGTATGTCCCTGTGCGCGCGGTGATGGGCGCGTTGTTTGAATGCAGGCACTATGTCGCGGCAGTCCATAGCTAAAACAGGGCAGTCGCACTCGACACCTCGTACAAATGCGCGTAGCCACGCCCCCTTGAAAGATATAGTCATGCGTGTTTTGTTTTTTTTTGCTTTTTTTAACGAGACGCCATTGTGACATGCTTTAATGGTCTCAACGCAGTCCCTTTGGCGTTTATGCGCCGTTGTGGCCACGTTGTGGTCCTCGTAGGCGGTAGTTTCTCGCAATAACTTCACCCGACGTGTCTCGTTCTTGCTCGTCGCTGCTCCCATCATCTGCTTCTAAGCCTGGCCCCCCGTCCACCTCGCCGTTGACCGCACCATGGCGATCCTCTCGAATGACGGGTATACCCTTCTAATGACCGCTTGGGCAGCGGCGCAACGCGCATTTGTGGGAGCGTTAGATGACGTTCCTTTACGTGCACATTGTGCTTCCTATAGTTCTAGGCTTCCATTTGCTTATCTATGCATTTGTTTTCATTCTCTCTCGCATCATGATTCTTACCGGCCACACCGGAAAAGTCGGCGCGCGTGTTCTATAGTCCCTTTCACTGTTTGCAAACAGAGGCCCTTGATTACATCCGGTTTTGTGCACCGCTGTGCCTTATCAGTATCGGTGGATAAGAAGAGCGTTAGAAAATAGCCCGCTGATTTTCTACACCTTCCTTCCCGTATTTGGCAAAGTATATTCGAATAACTGTTCTTTTGAGCTACACGAAAGTTTAAAGATATTCTCTTGAGCATTACGCACGTCCTTTTCATCTGAAAAACAAATAGGAGACTTTGAAGAAGAGAAACGTGAAAACGCGCTTTCAGTTACGACTTTAGGAGCTGGTAAATGAGGTGACCGGAAGTTTTGTTGGGGCACAACGCTTGCCATCTTGAAACCGTCTATAGGGGCGAAGTAAAAGCGGACGAAGATGAAGAGGACAATGTCGAGAGCGCGTGCGGCCTCGTGATGAAGATCATTGTCGTCTCCCAGCCCAACCGCGGTGGTCTAGTGGCTAAGGTACTCGGCTGCTGACCCGCAGGTCGCGGGTTCAAATCCCGGCTGCGGTGGCTGCATTTCCGATAGAGGCGGAAATATTGTTGGCCCGTGTGCTCAGATTTGGGTGCACGTTAGTGAACCCCGGGTGGTCAAAATTTCCGGAGCCCTTCACTACGGCGTCTCTCATACTCATATAGTGGTTTTGGGACTGGACAACAGGTGAGATGGGCGGATGTCGCCGCTTTTCCCGCCGGTGGCGTTGCTTCCACGGATCATTCTCTTGGTCCCGCCGTTGGTGGTGGTGGTGGGAGCGAGCTCGAGCAAGCCATAGAGCGAGCGCTAGAACAATGCCAAGGACCGTCACAATCAATAATTTCTGAGCTTAAACGCTATACTCAGAGCGGTAAATTTTATGTTGAAAGTATGATGACCCCGCTACTTACCGTATCGCATGATCACCGCGGGTTCACGCTTAGCGAGCCACAGGGCCGCGACTCCATCACCTACTCCGGAGTAGCGTACCGCTCCGCGCGCGCTCAACTAATAAGGCGTTTAGCGCGGCGCGGCAAAACAGTGTTCCAATACAAAAATGCGTAACACTTTATTGCCTTTGGCGGCACCCCGAACAACAATACAATGTCCGCTCCTGGGAAGCGGAGAGCAAAGGCACCCGCACACGGACCTTCACGATAAGGGGAAACCGCGAGCACGTCGCAGCTGGCAATGGCGAGCTTTGACACGCCGGTCGGGAAAAGGTCCCTCGCGGCTATGCTACGCACTCTCACGATGGCCACTGGGCCTGGTCGCGAGTGTTAGGGCAAACTTCGTACGCGTAGGCCTACGGCAAGTGCGGCTCGGCGTGGTACGACCACTTCAAGCACCAGGCACCGCTGTGGGCTTAGCATACGGTACCGAAGCTAGCACTCAAGTAAACACTCCTGCCGAGGTGCCAAAGGCCACCCCAGGCAGGCTACAGTCCGGCGATTCCCAAAGGGGACGTGGGCGAAGGAAACACGTGCTACCCCGGCGCCGACTAGAGAGGAGAGAGAGCTCCCTCGGCGCACACTTAACACTTGCCGCGTCCTCACGTGGCTCCATCTATCGCCACACGCTGTTACCAGAGCAGAAAAAGCAAAAGGGTGTGGCCGTATGACGGAATGCCCGCGAAATTGTCACGGGCGCGTCTCATATCCCCACATCCTCCTCTCCTTAATTCACCCTATATACCGGCCTGCAAATGCAGCCCATCGTCGCCCATGCATGCAAAGACATCATGCAATGGGCAACAGCTAGCCTCAGCCTCACTCTGCAACTGCTGAAGAAAAAAATGAAACAACACAACAATACACTTCAGAAATAAAAAAAACATATATTTGGCCTGCTGCAGCGTTCAGGGGGGGGGGGGGGAGAGGCTCCGAGTGGCCCTACAGTTCTAACAGACGGTCCACGTCTATTGTGGCGACGGCGTTCATCAGTGGCCCGTCGCTGGTTGCGGGCGGTGGCAGCCCTGAAAGCAGTGCCGCGAAATGGGGGTCCTCCCCCATTCGCTGTCGGCACTGGGCCGCCAGGTCGGTGTCCGAGCGCTGGCTGAGCGGGGCTGGTTCCGAAACACCCCGCCCCCGTGGTGGCCATCCCCTCAGCAGCCGCCTTTGTCCGCGCCACGTGCATGATACCCTTATAGTGGCACTGATAGTGCACGGTCACACGGCACGTGGCGCAGAATTCCACCGCAGCATCGGTAGGCAGTTGGATGCCTCCGGCTGCCTTCTCGATGTCCACCAGTGTGCAGCCCCGGAATGGCCACGGGACGTGGTCCAGGGGCAGGTCGCGCCGAATACGCCGCTGCGTCTTCCAAGGTGCGTCACTCACAAAGTAGCGTGGCACCTCCTGCCCCTCCTGCCGCGCCCACATGGCCACGCTTCGCTTTGGCCTTTTGGGGACTGGTGGCGGTGCCGACATTGTTGATTCTGGGCTTCTGGCCGCCCACCTGGTGGACTTGGGTGGTGCCGAGATGGTAGGTTCGGGTCGCCGAGGCGCCAACCTTGTGGACTTCTTCTGGCTGCAGGGCATGTTGCTCCACGACGTACCGGCACCAGAACGAGAATGACACACCGCTGGCAGTCTCCGGCTCCCTCCCCCCCTCTCTTCACCGACAACCAGCGCCACCTATATTTACGTAGTGGTCGTTGGCTCAGTTAACTAGCGCCACCTATGTTTACGTAGGGGTCGTTGACCCAGTTATTCTTCCTCCCCGCACAACACAGACACACACAGCTGCACCACCAGAGCGTCCTTGAATGTTCTCGCAAGTAACAAGTCGCTACCCCTCCGCAGGCCAAAAAAGCGAGGAAAAAAGAAAAAGGGTGTGGCCATGTGACGGAATGCCCGCGAAATGGTCGCGGGCGCGCCTCAGATCGCCACAAAAGGCGAGGCTCCACAATCGCAACCTTCGCAGCAACAGGTGACGCCGCTGCCACCTTCGTCGCTTCGGTCCTCGACTTGCACGCCACTCGAGGCGGTGGAAATGGACACGAACGATGAGAGCGGTTCGGGGGAAGAGGCTGACGGCCGAGATGACCGCCCGTGTACCGCGAAAAGAATTGCACTAGATCCTGCGAATCCTGACCCCCCCCCCCCCCCCCCGACAAAGTGAACGTTATGAGCAACTACAAAAACGCATCGATATTATAGAAAACAGCCTCGATGAGCGTTTATCAAACCATGTGGCGGAGATGAATGGCATGTTGAACAGTGCGATAACTAAGCCGTTTGAGCAAATGGCTCAAATGTTCACCGCCCACGTGGCGCGCATAGAAAATATGGAAGCCCGACTGCCGCTAGCTGGGGGCAAACCGATTAAAATGATAAACGAGCCGTACGCTAGACAGCATCCGAGTCAACAACAGCAAAACACGCTGACAGGCGCAGAGACGCCAATTCAGCCGAACCCAAGTCGCCTTGACGGCGATGGGTTAAATTAAATGTGAGTGTCAACATGGTTAGACACGCACATAATCGCACTAACACTAGCCAACAGAAGTATAAGATCTGGCAGAGAAACTGCCGGGGTTATAGGAGGAAG